TGATAGTATAGTTTGATGTCCTGTTTCTTCACTATGTTGGCGTATAGAGGAAACACAGGGGTTATTCAATTTTTTGAAAATGTATAATAACTGATGTAAATTCATTTATTCTGCTTTAGATACTGAAGATGGAATCTGATAGAATTCCGAAACGTTTATCCATGTCCCCTTTTTGTCAATAAACAATGTTGTTTATCATAAGTGTCGTAATCTTGTTTGTAATCAAACATTGAAACTATTAATTATTGGAGGCTTTATACTGTTTTATTTACGGTACTAATACATTGGAACTAGTAATATTGAAAGTACACGAGGATACGGTACACAGATCCTTAATGGTGTTCTTTGTGAACATCTTCGTGGTAAGTGACAGTGATCACCGTATTTCTCATGTTAGGGAGAACCCATTCTTCTAAGTGATCCCTTTCAATGCTTCTGTCGAAGGGGAATCCCATAGGCCGCCTATCGGGATAAAGTTGATCCTTAGCACCGCAGTAACTGACAGCATCTACACAGATTCCGGTCTTTCCGTGATCTCCAACCTGCACAGAACGAATTCGAATATTATATTAAATATCGAAGCATCTTTGAATAAAAATTGTACATTGAATTACTGGAAGTTTGGTCGCCATTTTGTGCATGGAATAAAAAATGTGTACGAGTTTTTCGCACGTTGCATGAAGATAATACGTTAATTCATCGTTACACTACCAATTAATAACATAAAATTTAAGATACAGATTTTAGTATGCTCAAGCCCGAGGTTTTATTTTCAAGTACTATGCAAATGTAGAATTCATACAAGCAAAAAATAGTGTTTGCAAAACACTGGAAAGTAATACATACTATTTCCATACTCGTGAAAACCTTTCCTTTTTATATGCGCAATAAGCGTCAAAATATTTTAATGCAATTATTACAATATTTTCTGATTAATTCTAACTGCTACAAAGAGGACTGATTGCTATGGCCATTATTATTTTCCACTAAAGTACTTGTTTTTCGATATAATTTCACGTACCATCATTTAAATAAACATCATAATATTAGTTTTTTTCGAACGGTCAATAACACTAAGATGCATCTTACTCTCGGTGGCAGATCAACGTAAGTTAAAAACAGTTACGTAAGTTGATCAAACAGCTGCTGAAGCACCGTTACATAATTGTTTAATTCACCCCCGAATAAAGAAAGTAAACCTTTCGAAAGCGCTCTGGGTACCAGGTTTCTTATTTTACGATTCGTTTAATTTTTGTTCCTTCGTTATTTCTTAGAATCACGTGGTTATAGTTAAAACTGACGTATGTTTTGCTTTCTAATGTTCAATACAATAAAATAACCATTACATTAGTGTTGTGTGAATAAAGTTCTATACAATAAAATCACCATTACATTAGTGCTGTGTGAATAAAGTTCTATACAATAAAATCACCATTACATTAGTGTTGTGTGAATAAAGTTCTCTGTTTACCTTTTTGTCCACATTATAACAAAATATAGTTATTTCAATTTGTATTTTTATAATTTGCTTAACTGGTTGGGCAGTCTCATAAGTTCATATAACGTTCAGTTTCATTACTAAGTTATAGAAACGCATTGTTAACAGAATGACTTACCTGATCATGCAGCCAGTCCGTCACCATAACAAACAAGTGGAAAGGCATGCCCTTTTCATCACCTCTTGGGACAAGAAGATGATCAGGCCATCCACAGCTGCAATATTCATTGGCATGCTCGTTGATGCCTTCACCATGAGCCAACTCATTGAAGGTACGTTCAGAAGACAAAGTCACACTGGAATCCTTGGAGTGGCGGACAATGTTGTTGTGACCAGGATGCACTGTAAGAGAAAAGCAACAGTGGTCAGTTATTTCCAGATCTCAATATTTGAAAACCAATAAAAGGTTTCAAACGCATTAATTAATTTCAAATCTTAAGGCTAACACTGATAAAACAATCTGAAATAAAAGTTAAGAATCATAACTTATTGATCTACTGAGTTTTAGATTAGCAGTAGTGTTCCTTTGGTCGAATAAATGTGTTTCTTACGATCATGATGGAACTTGTCCATTTCGATCATCAGACGACGCAGATCCTTGGTGTGTAGTTCATTGCCTAGTTCATCATATTTGGGAGCCATGAAGATTCGAACTGTAGCTGGTTTGGTCCTGCTGCTATGATTTTCAACTTCAATCTTGTAGTCGAAAGGTTCGTGACTCAGATGGTTGTAGCGAACCTACACGATTACGAAAAGTGTACCTTTAGAAATCTCGAACGAGAGCTGTAATTAAAACCCTAAATATTTTCTTTCGAATTAACACTGAAGTTCTGGTATCGTATACACTGTAATAACATGTAACAATAGGCATAAACGACTATAGGCAAAGTAACCATTATTTTATTTGAATATTTGTAATTTATTTAATGACGACAAGAAATATTTAGTATGTTCCTCACTAACCCCAAATATTTTAAATTTGACAGTAGGCCCAAACAAGAGACTGATTAAGGAAATTATATCTTAAAAAATAATGTTTCACTTTGGTAATATTTTCATGGTTGGAACAGTACTCTGAGCAAATAAAGCTTTCAGTTCATTTTATGATGTTTTTAAGTACTCTTAGTGACGTCTGGTTAACAAATTTTGAATCGATTTAGTGTTAAACGTGTTAATGTAAGTTTATAATTTGGACTCAATAATAGCTTAAGAATGTTGAAAGCTTATTCCCTAAGTATTACTGCTATGGCATATAAGCAAGTTTGTATGTAAAAAACAGGAGCATGTTTAACAGGACAAAATCAGTTCTTAGTAAAAGTTATATATGTTATGGAATCAAACTTAATCGTGAAAATACTTTCTATAAATCTGTGTCTTAAAATAACTATTATGAACCATGGAGTTAAATACACCTAAGAGCATGTGTATAACGTGTTAAATTGTTAAAAGCACACCTTGACATCTCCGGTTCGGCCAAATTCATACGCATGAGAAAGGTTGAGCACAGCACTCTCTTTAAACGTGTTGATGTTGTTAGCGTGTTCAGCACTTACGAGAACTTTCGTAACTTCAACACCAGGGAATTCGAGCTATATTGGAATAAAAAAACAAGCAAAGTTGAAATCTGTCCTATGGCAGTATAACTGACTTAAAATTTCTAAACTAAAAACATCTGTTTGTTTCCAACAGGCTTCATATTTTGGACCAACTATAAAGTAGCTAAAATATTAAACATGTTTTGAACTTTTACATTATAAAGAACGTTATATGTACTGTTTGGCCTAAATAAGAAATGCTTATATTAAAGAGCTGAATTCTCAGAGATTTATATTGGTATTAAAGCAAATCAAGGCTGCAAGTGGGTTTTAGGCCTAACTGTTTGAGCACTGCTAGAAGTATGCATTTAGTCCGATAGGTTTGATTCAAAGATTTTACTGTTAGTGCCGTTTTAATCAAATAATATTTTCTCTGTGCATTAGGTTTACTGACAAAAAAAAAAAGCACCATAATCATCACAGGAACGAAAATGCTGAAATTGTAGCCAGAACTCCATTTTTTTATTTGTCTGTTTATGTTTTTGTCATGGAATGAGAATATTGGGATCATGCAATCATATATATATAACAGAATGAATCTTAAATCAGTGAAAATTGAATAGTGCTTATATCATCGTAATAGAAATACAACGTAATTTTATCCCCGATAAAGGAAGGTCGATCTCCCAAAGAGCTGAAATATCAGGGTGCTCTGATAAAAAAATTTGGGAGAGACACATTTCCTGAAAACATCAAAACTTATGATAAATGAAAACTAATTTTAGTAACACACCATTCACCAGGTAGGGTTATTATACTATATATATATATGGAGCAGATTTTAGGTTTAAAAGAAACGAATGTTCTTGAAGTTAATGTCTACCTATCACGTTGTCAAAATCTTTATGTTATGATAGAACTGTTGTAATAAGGTGGACGTCACGTTTTATTCGCATTCAATTAAGTATTGCAATAAAAACCTTCTAAAAGAGAGAATTTGAAGTCTTAAGGCTAACTTTGGTATTCAGCAGTTAGTAACATGCAAGAAGATAGCTTTATGCCAAGACTTCTTCATATTTGTAACTGCTGACTACTTATCAGTCAGACATAAGTGAATGACTTTCTTCTTGCCTAACGGTAGCGACAGGTTGCATGTTTACCTCATCCTTTCTGTAGTGCGGTAGGGTCTCCTTGTAGTCCTGGAACATGTTATCGAGGAACCTGTGCCACCTGTAAAAGATGGGGTCTCTGAGGGAGGTAGCGGTGTCGCTCATCACACCTGGGTTCAACTGGAAAGTGAAAGATGTAAAACAATATATAATATACAACTTGGAAATACTTCCGTGTGAGAAAAACCACGAAAACGATATATAACATATTGGAGAATGGAAAAAGGGGTTAGTTTGCTTTAGAATTTCCCACAAGGTTACACAAAGCTAGCTGCACATAGTCCTTTCTATGTTTTAGCTGATAGACTATACAGAAGGCATCTACTCTACAACATTCATTGCGAACTCTTGGGCTACTCTTGTCTGACCTCATACTGTACTTTGATGGCATCTAGTGTACAACATTCATTGCGAACTCTTGGGCTACTCTTATCTAAACTCAAACTGGACTTTGATGCCATCTACTCTACAACATTCATTGCGAACTCTTGGGCTACTCTTGTTTCTATGAGGTCAAACAAGAGTAGCCCAAGAGTTCGCAATGAATGTTGTAGAGTAGATGCCATCAAAGTCCAGTATGAGGTGTCGACTTTGATTATCTCTCTTATAACATATCAACCGCCTCACAGTGTAGAACGCGTTTTAACAGCGACAAGTCCTGGTACGTTAACCACTAGACCACGCCTGGCCCAAAAGTAGGCTTACTTCTGTTTATAGTATCGTCTACTGTTTTTGGGTCTGACCCATAATGAAACCTATTTTAACATTTTGCTTGTCCAATAAAACTGTACTATGTGTATACCCAAACAAAAATGTGAAAAATATCACATAAATACATTTTCTTATTTGAGCCCTTTTACCATGTTTCAAAAATATGTGCAGTAAGTAAGTTTGATTTTTAGCGAAAATTACACAATGAGTTATTTGCGCTCTGTCTACTACGGGGAATCGAATCTCTGATTTTATCGTTGTAAGTCCGTGAGCTTACCTCTGATTCACTGGGGAACTGTAGAATAATAAACACTAGTAAGTGTTGTAAAATGTACATTTTTAATTACACATGTCACAAATCAGGGAAGTTACAAACAAAAGGCATTAAAATATTTGTCATAACAAACATTTAACATTTAAAATTGAAAAGAGAAATCAATCTCATGTTCTTGTGGCTTACTTCAGTCCTATTTTGAGCTAAACTCTTCACATGTGCACACTAAAAACAATTCTTTATTGATATGCACCATTAAGTCCTCTTAATATGTCCTTAACTTTGAGAAGTGATATAAGAAAAAAAACATGTAACATACTATCTCAAACTTACGTGGAAGCGACCATCGGGATCAAGAACTCTAGCGGTGATCACGTGACCCCAGTTGTGGATGCTACCATAGAAGTGTTGGTTGATTGACTCGTGACTAGCTTCGACAAGAGCGCCTAAGATGTCAATACCATGAGTTTCATCAAGCAAATACTCGTGGTTGTTCTCATCTTGCACGTGGCCAATATGGATAGCGTCAGAGATCCTACTTCTCCATCGCTCCATATCCTGGAGAGAAACTTCCTTCAGGTCTTGCAGTGTTAGGTCATTAGGTCGTGAAGGGTAGGGCATGCCGTTCATCAGAGAGGTCAAATGGGATGAGTAGCCTTCCAAGGGGCTGTGGAAGTCGTGGAAGGGTTCCATTCTAGGCATACCATTCGACAGTCTCTCACAATCGTATCTATAATGGGAGTTAGAGCAATGGTTTAGTGTTTGAGCAGGACATTTTAGTAAATGAACAACTAATTTATCCTATAGCTCGATTATTTGTATGAAATCACAGTGGGACTGAGAATAATTTTTAACAACTTTTTCTTTACTGGCCTAACATATGATTCCAGTTATGAACCATAATAATTGATTTATTCTGTTAATAATGAAACTAAGCTTTCACTAAGTTAAGTAATGAAGTAGGTAACGAATCTTAACTTAAAACCGGTCGCTTTTTAGTAGTGCATGAGTTATTGTTTGTTAAGAAATAATTTTCCCACAAAGCTACACAAGCTATCTGCACATAGCCTAGTTTTTGAGATGATAGACTGGGAGGAAGGCAACTAATCAATAGCTCCTATCGTCAAGTCTTGACTTGTTTTTATCTGACCGAATAATAGAATTTGATCGTCGCTGTTATAGCGCACCTACGGCCCGAAAATATGATTGTGTTTCGTCAGAAACCGGCTGCGAACCATGAACTCTCGAATTCACAGCTTGAACACGCTAGTTATTTAGGCACATATAGCCCATTATTGATGTGTTTCAATAATTGCACATAGAAAAAGTCGTAAACCAAAAGAGGTAAAACATTTTTAAGCTTTAAATTTTTTAAAAATCGAAATGAGCCCCCAGTGGCCCAGCGGCATGTCTGCGGACTTACAACGCTAGAATCAGGGTTTCGATACCTGAGGTGGGCAGAGCACAGATAGCCCATTGTGTAGCTTTGGGCTTAATTACAAACAAAACAAAAAATAAATCGAAATAATTACAAAATCATTTTTTAGCCATTGTGGACCTTCGAAATTCGGTGTTTCGAATTAAGAAGTATTTATTTTATTCTGGATATATATATGATTATTGAAATATGTCTTATAAGAAGACAAATTTACATAACTTCGTATTTTTACTTATTTGGGATGGCGGTACTTTATTACAAGTTTGTACTGGGTTTAGCACTGAAGTGTATGGTGCGCACCGCCCTCATGTTCGTTTCTCTGACATAAACATATTGCTTGTCCACAACTATTAAAAGTCTTGCATGTTAAAATGTTTATAATACCAACTTAATGAATAATTATAAAATAGGATCTGTTTATTTTTTTTACTTGCTACCATTCCCTCCCTCCCCACCCACCCCTCAAAAAAGTTTGCCTTGCGATGCTTGAAAAGTATAATTTTTTCTCATAAATTCCTTCCATTTTAATGTTACTGGGTTTTAGGATTGTTACTTTCTGGTTGAATTAACTATTCAAAAACTGCAGTTAACTAGCTACAGATACACAGAATACAGTTAACTAGCTACAGATACACAGAATACAGTTAACTAGCTACAGATACACAGAATACAGTTAACTAGCTACAGATACACATTAGCTTTGTCACAGAACTAATTTTACATATTTAGCTCTTAAATTTAATTGTAATACCAAGTTAAAGCTGGCACAATGGAGACAAATGAAATCAAGTTGCTGATATTAAGCTTAATGAGTATTGTTTCAGGTAGGTTACCTTTTAGTACTGACTATTAGGTTTATATCATTAAGTACGGTGGTACTTAATAGTATGGATCGTCATGAAACAATATAGTGGTCATAAAAAATCACCCGTTTAAAACCACATTTAAAATGTCGGCATATTAACAATGACTAATTCACTGTATTGGCTGAAGACAACTACAGCTTATTGTATTTATAAAGCCGTCTAAATCGCTATATACGTGTTTATGGAGTGAATAAAAATTTCATTATTTGAACGAAATTTTCATCTAAGCAAATAAGTAAATGATTTTTCAGAAAAGGGTACAAAAAATAAGACGAACCTTATCGTTTTACTTATTTTACAGAACCCCTACGTCTGGGGTCCCAATAATTCCCTTCTTGTATTGAAAATGATACTAGTATATATATATAATGGAAGATGCGCTACTTTGGACACATAATTAGTTTTGACGGTAAGTTGGTTAATATCCTGATGAGTAAAATCGGGTATACGAGCGCCCCACGTTTAGTATTGCAGGAGTACAAAAATATTGCTAATAAAAAAGTATAATAATTTTTTTTAAAGTTTTATAAAGACAAGTAGGGATCGATATATACGTAATCGAGCTAGCTATAGTGATATAGAACGTTTTAATGCTACAAAAAATATTTAAACAAGAAAGTCAAAACTAAAAACACTGAGCTACATAAGTTTTAAAAAAAAGTATTCCTACTGGCGCAAATTGCTGTAATTATGTTAGCCTAGGCCAAAGTAGAGATAATGTTTAAGTAACTTAGTTGTTGTAGTTTTGGCTTTCTTGTTTCAATACTTTTTGCAGCTTTAAAACTTTCTAATCATTATAGCTAGCTAAGTTACGATCCCTATATATCCCGATATATCGATCCCTACTTGTCTTTATCAAATCTAAATTGTTTTTATTATACTTGTAAATATATAAAATCGTTTCTTACCTAGCACACATCTGTTGGTGCATGTAATAGAACAATTCTCCTTTCCTGTCTTTAACCTTACCAGTTACTTCTGGCCGCCAGGTGGCAGGATACACCAGATGCCAATGCCAATGATGAGCATTGATTCCGATATCCTCTCGGTAGTAGGATAAGTTATACTCTGGGTCGCGAATATTGCCAGTTGTTTCCATGTCAACAATGATCTCTTTCTGTATGAATAATAATGATTTTTTTAAGTATTTTTATTTGAAAGGAACTGCCAATAAATTATTCTTTATATAACTTGTTATAACATTTAATAAATAAATAAACTTAGTATTCCGGAAAATTGTTTAATTTCGAAGTCTAAGTTCAACAGAGGTCCAGTTCAATCTACACTTTTATCAACGTGTGTTATAGGGTTATACTAGTTTCTCATAATGACTACATATCACGTTCACACCAACAGTATGTTTGCTTTAACATTGCTGTCGAAGAAGTACTTTACTGGTGTAACATTGAATTATTATCAGTAGTCATAATTTAAAAAAAAAGGTTGATAGAAATATATGTTAATTTATAAACAAATAGTATTTAGCTATTACAACAGGGGAATTAGAGATTATTATTAGGTATGTCCGTAATACAAAAACAGCCACATCTCATAGCTATTACAACAGGGCAATTAGAGGTTATTATTAGGTATGTCCGTAATACACGAACAGCCACATCTCATAGCTATTACAACAGGGCAATTAGAGGTTATTATTAGGTATGTCCGTAATACAAAAACAGCCACATCTTATAGCTATTACAACAGGGCAATTAGAGATTATTATTAGGTATGTCCGTAATACAAAAACAGCCACATCTCATAGCTATTACAACAGGGCAATTAGAGGTTATTATTAGGTATGTCCGTAATACAAAAACAGCCACATCTCATAGCTATTACAACAGGGCAATTAGAGGTTATTATTAGGTATGTCCGTAATATAAAAACAGCCACATCACATAGCTATTACAACAGGGCAATTAGAGGTTATTATTAGGTATGTCCGTAATACAAAAACAGCCACATCTTATAGCTATTACAACAGGGCAATTAGAGGTTATTATTAGGTATGTCCGTAATATTTTACCTCAAAAACTCTCATTGCTAGGAGAATTAAACTACTTCTACTAAGGAAGATTTCTGTTTCAAGATCTGAGAGATAATTGAAATACGACACGAATTTTTATTAAAAGTTATATATATATATTTAATTACCGTTATATGCTATCGCCTAAAGTACATCTTTTATAAATCTTTTAGTGCGTGTTGCTATTATTATTTATTATGTAAATTAGAAACCCACAACATATGTAAACAGAACATTTCATTAAATGTTCTCGGATATAATTAAAACTGGTCAGGATTGGTTTAAGAAGTATTTGTCTGGATAATAATTTTTCTTTCATGCGAACAATTTTCGGTTATGATTTGAAGTATTATTTTGTCATAATAGGTTTTTAGGTGTAACATTCGTTGCCATTTTTCAATAAAAACTACTTAAAGAAAACTTTATATAGTGCTCAGGATGTAGGAATTAAATTTCGACAGAACTGGTGATAAAAGAAACGAAGACAGGAACTGAAATATTATCTTTCATTTTAAGGTGAACTGTCTCAGTACGAAATTCATACCTCCTTGTCAGGTTCTCTGAAGGCTTCCTTCAAGGCATGGTTAAAAGTCTGCACAGGTACAAACTTGTCAGGGAAAATCTCCTGGATGGGTGGGAGGGTTACTCCCTTGCAATCTGGACGATGAAGCAAAGCAACAGACAAGGCATATACGTAAAGACCTTCATTGACAAAATCGCGTACCTGGTGGCACAAATCCAGAAACTCCTCGAATGTTTCAGCCTCTGTTGTGTTTGAAAAACAAAAACGAATAATTAGTAAAGTTCTAAGATAATTTATGATTATTTATCATCTAAACTTATATGTAATATTGTTTTATAGATTATGCGAAACGTAAAGGTGGAATCGTTCTTATCCTTGATTGGCTCATCCGAGCAGCGCACACATTTTATATTTTGTTAACTCCAATTCGAATGTGTTTCAGTCATAAGTCACTATTTAAGGAAGCGTACATAGGCTAAGAAAAATACTGTTCACTTGGGGCATGATGAGAAATGTATTGATATGCTTCCTTAGTATTTTACATATTTTTTGGCTTTACACGGATAAATATCACATGCTAGAGATCAAGGAGCGCTAAGCAAACTTTCCAGCTGTTTTCATGAGACGTTCGCCCACACATTAGCGGTGAACTAATTCTCGTGGAATTTGATATAATTATAAAGTCTTTACTTGTCGAAACATTAATTTTCAGTATAAGCCCAAACATAAGCTCTGATTTCTCACGTTTCTAGCCTCTTAACTTATTTAATCTTAATACTGTGTAGCATAGTATTCAGAATTTTCACACACTCGGTAATAACATATATTCTTCTAGCTGTTACCTTATTTCAATACTTGTTATTAGTCTCAAAAGAGTCTTGCTTCTTTCAGTTAAATAACTGATAAGTGTTCTTAAAAGTCAAGGCAGTTTATACTAAAAGAAATTACAAACTTGTAAAAACTGAAAAAATCAAACATGTTTCCATTTCTTAAAAAGTTAACACTAAACATTCTAAGATAATATTAACAGGTTAAGGGAATCGCACCACGTATTAAAATTAAAGTTTAATAATTTGTGTAAATTATTTGCTTTCAGTCAGATAGATACTGAGGTGAATGCAGATCTTCTAAAAAATATTCCACATCTAAAGTAGAACAATAAAACATTTTTGCAATTTAAAACACATTTTTCTCATTGCATAATAAGTTCCACATCATGATAGTCGAAAACTGCAGCTTCTAGTTATACTGGCTCTCGATGATAAAGAAAAATATTCTATACATATTTTTATTCGTCTTTCTGAGAAAAATCTTCTATTTACAGTTTCATAAACAAAGTCTACATGAAATTTCAAATCCAATTTCAGTAATTATTATTATTTTTTTACATTCCACATCGTTATTAAATACTATTCTTGTAGTTTGTTTGTAGTTAAGCACAAAGCTACACAAAGGGCTATCTGTGTTCTGCCCACCACGGATAGCGAAACCCGGTTTCTAGCGTTGTAAGTCTGCAGACATACCGCTGTGCCACTGGGGGGGGGGGCATTCTTGTAGTAATCAGCTCAGTCACGCGACAGTTTTGCGTTACCTTTTTTTTACAGTTTATTTTTTTTTTTACTAGTTAATCGGTGAGTATTCATGAAATTCTCATTAGGGCTTAACCGGTTTGAAACCTATGATTTGAATTTAGTTTAATCCTTTCACTTCCATATTATTCCTTACAACATTTATTTAAAGTGTTGTCGCCAGAATACTTTATATAATTATTGATGAATTCCCTGCAGGATGTTTGTTGTTTGTAGTTAAGCACAAAGCTATACAATGGGCTATTTGTGTTGTGCTTACCACGGGTATCGAAACCCGGTTTTTCAGCATTATAAGCCTTCAGATTTATCACTTTGTCTTGGGGGGGGGGGGCAGGAGGGAGAAAATTAAAAGAAAAATAACTTACTAATTAGCACCTCATACAGCTTGGTGGCCTCCACTAGGTGTTCTGCATGAAAGAGGGAGAAAAGCTGACCACGTCCAAGAACACCAAGTCCTTGAAAATTATGGTCCAGATATGCCTTCAAAGCAAATTTCTCCTTGGTGGGAATAGTGGCATGCTCAAAAAGAGGAAGCACCCTGAGCTGTTTCTGGAGGACACTAAGCACCATGATGGCGGTGAAGGATGAGTATTACTGACTAACTCTCGTTCCAGTCCTTTCTTCCGGGACCCAATAGAAGGCACTGCAGCAGTCTCTCTCTGAAAAAATAATTTTTGAATGAACGGCTTTTATACCTTAATCACCTCGGGAGGAGAACTGAATTCTAAGAAATAACTCAGTTCAGCGATGAATTCAATCTACTCATGCTACATAGTATCCTGATTACCCATCCAAATATAGCCTTCCATGTTTTCTTGCGTCTTCTGAGCCAACTCTACAAAACACGTATTTTTAAAAACATTTCTTACAAAGTAAGAAAGGAAGTACAGGTATATCGAAATACGACTATAACATCTGTGACTTTGTCAGGATGTCAGTATTTTTAGCAGCATACTGTATTTAAGATACGGAATTCCAAGAAGCCACGACATTTCAATCCACAATAACTGGACAGTTGTGAGTATATTGGGAAGCGTCTTGGCAACAGTCGGACTGAATCGCCTCTATAAATAAGAGATCACCAGAAATGATAAATAACAGGAAATTCCCTCCCATAGCAAATGTTGCTTTTCTTTATGTCGATATACCGTTTTCATAAAGTGACACCAGGGGTACAATAGTTTACCAAAGAAATTAATAGTTATACCCATCCAAGCCTATTTTTAACAATAAAATAATTAACTCGTGCCTTTAAAAATACGATTAATCGTATTCAGTGATGACACTGGATTGATATTGAGAAGGAAGTTTGTTCGCTACATGAAATAGCATAATGTAATTGTTTTAACATCACATGATTAGGACGACAATAAGAATCAAAGCCATCGGTCAATGTTTTCGAGACAGAGATACTGACATCTTAATTGAATAACACAATAAAAAATTAAATTGATTTGTTTAAGATAATGTATACAAATGTTTTGTAAATTCAAATTCCTTTTCAAATTTTATATAAATCGTGCCCCCACAGTGGCACAGCGATATGTCTACGGACTTATAAATTTAAAAACCGGGTTTTGATACTCATTGTGGGCATAGTACAGATAGCCCATTGTGTAGTTTTATGCTTAACTACAAACAAACAAAATATTAAATTGCGTGAACATATTGCTTTAAAACTAATGTAAAATACCGTATTAAATCAGATTATGTGGGAAAAAACAAGCGAACCCAAACGTAAGGTTATTCTGGTGTTAAACTTGCATTTCTTCAAACAGAGTTATAATAAAAGATAAAAACACACACCTATTTTCCTCTGTATAATAAGTTAATCACGTTTATCAACTAAAGATACGATATTGCAATACTAACCATACGTTTACTTGCTTAAGAGGAATAACTCATTATAGGCCACAAAGTTTGTTTGTTTGAATTTATGCACAAAGCTACACGATGGGCTATCTGTGCTCTGCTCGCCACGGGTATCGAAACCCGGTTTCTAGCGTTGTAAGTCCGCAGACATACCGTTGTGCCACTGGGGGGGGGGGGGCAGGACATAAAGAAACACAACCTTTAGTGAGATTCATCTGTATTTGGAAACAAGCACGTTAAAATTTTTTATATTATCATCAATTTTAATTTTTTTGGCGCTGCTACTTCTTATATGCTTCTACCAGAATAAGAACACTGTGGTGAAATAAAAACAAGATGTGGGTGTGGTAACTTTCACACGAAACGAGTATATACTACAGCTAAGTCGTGAAAGTAATCAAACTTGGTAAAAGCGCACGAACTTTAAAGACGATGCTATCTCATTGTGAGAAGTATAGATTCAGATCTCGTGTGGTTTAAACTAAACAGGTTACAAACTTAAGTCACCAGGAATGGCAAATTGAATTTAAATACCTTGAGACTCTTCTGATAAAAAGTAGATAATGTTTTCGTATTACAAGTACATAGCCGTTTTCTTGATTTTATTTTTGTTTTAGCAAAGGTTTATTTGATTTGTTTTTAGTTTTATGTTAGCAGCTTCATTTCAATCGACATTTTGAATTGTACTTTTAGTTATTGAATAGTCGTGAATAGTTCGTTTTTTTTGTTCTTTAATCGCCCGAAAGGGAGAGGGAGGAGTAGCTTTAATTTTTATCATTCATATATATATATATTGTTTGTTTTTAATCGCACAGCTGCACATTAAGCTGTGTATTGTAGATAGTTAAACTTTTATATTTTGTGGTCAAGCCGCATTTACCAGAAAAACCATTTGAATTATTGTAAAATCGTTTATCTCTCGTTTAACTAATAGGTAAACCATTCGGTTTAAGTGGTAATATTAAGGATTATCTTCTTTTTTTTCTTGTTTGTTTTGAAGTTAAGCACAAAGCTACACAATGGGCTATCTGTGCTGTGCCCACCACGGGTGTCGAAACCCGGTTTCTAGCGTTGTAAGTCCGCAGACATACCGCTGTGCCACTGGGGGCCTTTTTTATTATTATTATTCTTTTTGAATCAAGTTGTACAATATTAAGTTTTCTTTATTTATTTATTATTTCAGTTTTGAATGATAGTCATTTGTTTCCCAGAGCAAGTCTTTCATATTGATTCTGTTTCTCTAACAACAACTGCATTAGTTGTTCATTAGTGATTTTCCTTCACGTTTCTAGTTCATAATAGTGTTTCACTGGTCATAATACTCAAAAATAATGGGCCCGGCATGGCCAGGTGGTTAGTGTGCTCGACCCGCAATCTGAGGGTCGCGGGTTCGAATCCCCGTCACAGCAAACATGCTCGCCCTTTCAGCCGTGGGGGCGTTATAATGTGACGGTCAATCTCACTGTTCGTTGGTAAAAGAGTATCCCAAGAGTTGGCAATGGGTGGTGATGACTAGCTGCCTTCCCTCTAGTCTTACACTTCTAAATTAGAGACGGCTAGCGCAGATAGCCCTCGTGCAGCTTTGGGCGAAATTCAAAAAACAAACAAACAAAAATCAAATTCAGTTAAAAAACGATATGAAGATTGATTGAAACAATATTTTTCATGTATATTTCTATATAAATGATTAATATATTTTGTTTCCTATCACATAAGTTTACGGGATTACAACACTAAAATACGGGGATCGATTCCCCACCGCGGACAGAGTGCAAATGGCTCATTGTTTAACTTTGCACGACGACAACGATAACAATCGCATTAAACTTAAAATAGATGTTGATATCAAAGACAACAAGTTTGTTTTCTTGTTGCAATTAAGCACAAAGTTGTGCCTACCCGAGTAATCGAACCATGAATTTAAGCGTTATAATCCCCCCTATGTGAATTTTCCTGACCGTTATGTAAGCTCCTTTAAAAGTCATATTACACAGCTTAATCGTATAAGAAAGAATATGACAACGTTTTCGGTCGAAAGATATAATAAGGTCTGAGGCTGCATTCCCTGAAAAGTGAGGATGATAAGATCTTCCTGTTTACAAAGTGGTTTCCTTTAGTAGATCTTCCATTAGCTTTTCTTGGCAAGTAGCGTCAGCAGTGTTCATTTTGAAATCACATATATATATTTAAAAACTTAAAAAAATATGTAACAAATGTTTTGTCATTATTCTATAAAATTGTGCTCCGAGGTAAAAAAAGTATAGAGACTTCGCTAATAAGTTTGTGAAGCTCTAAAATAAGCAATAATTATTCGGTGTATTTTGCTGAAGATTATAATTGTATAAATGTTAGTACAGTTGTTCAAAGACAGAAAATACTTAAATATCACAAAATTAGAACGTATTTCATCGATTTATCAAAATATCATTAGACGTATATATCAGTTAAATATCATAAAACACATATGTCCATAACAAAAACATTTAGGCTCGGCATGGCCAGGTGGTTAAGGCACTCGACTCGCAATCTGAGGGTCGCGGGTTCGAATCCCC